GCGCTTGTGGAGCCAGTTATATTGGCCGTTGCTCTAAGAACTTGATTTTTCGTGCTCGAGAACATCTCCCAGCATGGCTAAGTAAAGGTGTACTGAAAACTATTAACAGCTCGATATTGGGACATCTGGTGCAAAAAGGACACAAAGCCAGCGTAGATGAATCCTTCTCTATATTATACCGGGTGCCAAATAAATTACCAAAAACAGCGAAGCACCGCTGGCTCCAAACAGCAGGGGCTATTGCGATTCGCCTCAAACAACCAGCACTCTGTGTCCAAAAGAAGCAATTCCAACCCCTACTATTTCCCTGGCCTTCAGTAGAAGCTATAAACCCATGAATTTGTACTATTATCTTTCTTAATGTTTCTGACATTCAACTTATCCTATGTTGATGCGATTCAGGTGTAATTTATCAATATTATTGATTTGATGTTGTTTAAACATTAATGTCGTTTATAACACTAACTCATTCATTCACTATAATGTATGTATAAATGTAGAGCCTGATGATGAATTTATCGAAAAGAGTACTCTTTATTCAGTATCCATTATTTTGAGAATTTCTATTGTATAAATACTGAGTATCTATCAGTCAAACAAACAACTAATCAGACTTTGCGATTTCGACAGACAGCCACTACTCTGTCTACGTTGCCGTACGATTCGTTTTCATGATACTATTATGAATATTAATATTACTACCATTACATTACTATCTAAACCTAATTTACAGTAAGCCTGGTGAATTGTTGGTTGAAGGTCACGGTAATGTACCAGGAAATAATAGAATATCCAGTACAGGTAACCAATATTAGTGTGAATATTCAGCGGCTATATTACTTCCCCCCTCCCCTACATAATGTGTAACTCATAGTCTAGCAGTGAAAAATGAATTCGGGGTACTGTATTTGGTGGTATGGCTCTAAATCATTCTCAATGGTGCAGATGCAATCTCTTTGATCTCCCATATCCATTAAACCATCATGTTTTTCTATTGTTAATATTTCTTATCACTCATATTTCTACTGATTATCGCTCTTCCAAATCTCTTTTATCTTCCTTTGTGTCCTACACATGGAGTCTGACAACTCAAACGGCTGCATTTCTGTGCAAAGTTCTATGCTGAATCGAGTTAGTCAACTAGCCAATCAAATCGTCTTCATTAATTTGGAAATTGTTCAACATCTTTGCAAGGAATGACACAAAGTGATCGGCTTCAATGTAGGATAATGATGCATGAAGTGACAATAATCGCTGATTACAGCCAATAAGCGCTTACGGTCTGAGTTATAAAACTGTCAATCCAATGAGTAGAAAATAAGTATAATCACTAAAAATCCAGTTAGTTTTAAGGTTAAATAAAAAGTAGAAACTTTTCAGTATTGTATTAGTTTTCGAAAGATTTATACGCCTTGAACCAAACTATGTTTAATTGACTTGTCAGTAGACGAATGAACACAGTCGAATCTTCAAGGGGATAAAAGTTTCTTTCAACATGCTGATACACTTCACTAATAAGTGTCAACAATCATGAAACTTGGGTTCGTGACATCGAGATGATCGCCTCTAAATACTTAATAGACCTTAAGATGAATTGTAGAGATATGCTTCATTTGCTTAAGGTCTCAGATTTTAATTTCACCCCATCTACTTTAGCCTGGTTAACTGAGTAGCATCATCAATCATCGGACAATAGGTGTGGCCCATAGCCCGGTATAGGATAAATTCTAACTTCATAACGGTCGTAGTGACGAAATTATAACAAGGAAAATGAAATATAGTCAGGAATCGCAGTGTTATACGATAAAAGAGTAAACCGTAGAGAGCAAATAAAGGAATGTGATATATGGTGAATATGATGATAAACTATGAATGCAACTAATTAAACAACTGAGATCCTTTTATAACCGTTTGAAATAAATGCGCTAAGTATATTTCTATAGAGTCAAAAGGATTCCAGCCTAGGCGTTTTACACTTTTGAGGCAGTACAGTAGAGGTCGACAGTTAATCGGCATCATGATCAGATGTCATGTCTTGGTCTGTTCATCCTTAGCTGCCATCCCACTTAGATTTAACTTTCATAGCATAACACGCTGAGATAATGTGATACATGAAACACTTATTCAGAGTAACAGTAGGATTTTCAACATAAAGTATTGAAAATCAAGTACCAATTAGAATGTATTACACACGTTATTTAGTTGTACATGTCACCGGCACCCTGAGTTTAACGAAAAGAAATCTAATAATTCCGACAGACACTGATGGACATAACAATGTATAATTGAATTATTAGTTACACAGAATTTTCAAACCGATCGATTCCAGTACCCGATGAATTTTCTCAAGTTCTAAAGAGTTCACCTAATCAGATGTGAAGTGAATGCTAATTAATTGAATTGGTTGCTGATAGAGTTATATCACGAAATGACAGAAGATCAAATTAATGGACCATTGGATTCCATTCCGGTGGTTGAATGGCCAATGGACCCACTTCATAATCTAAACATCCTCGGTCCAATACCTAGTGCACACTACTGAAAAGGCCCAATCTAATAGGAAACAGTTGTCCAGTGCTCCGCAGTTCCTAATGAAATCTACTCTGAAATCAATCAAATCTTCACAAAGTAACACGAAGTCAAAATAATTGCGAATAGAGAAACCAACCAATAAACAGTACTGAATTCGAACATAAAACAAGACAACTACACCAGATTATCATATCATTTATCGCTTCGTATAATAGAACACTTTATGAACTTATAATGAGGTATTCATTTTGTTTGAATTACACACAGACACACACATTTTACATATAATGTTTAAACAAATTTATTAAACAGGAAAAACAGCAGACACTTCACTAAAAAGTCTAAGTTTACACTATGAAAGTTAGATACGAAGAAACAGACATCATAGTTTTAGTTAGTAGATGAAAAATGAGACACGGATACACCAACACACACAAACACATACACTAATGCATAAACAAACAGATGTGCGACTGAACTTCCTTAATTTGAATGCAACCATGCCATTCATAGACTTTCTACTCTATCAGTTAGTTAATTAAGTAATTAATTATTGAGGGAAAATAATTCAAAAATGTACACAACGACTGATCGATTGTAATTTCATTAGTTAAATCACAGACGAACAGAACCTCATTAAATCTTATTTATGGACAATTAAAAAAGAGACACGTGAAGAATTCACTACAGCAGAATAATTTACGTATACACAGACTACTATTACTATCACACATATATACAGATGAAGTACATCAATCACTTATTGTTCTAGAAAAACTGCTTACATTGAATAATTTTTCACTACTTTCAAGTGTGCACCAAACTAACTGGTATTTCTTTTTTTGTAATGGATAATGATTGAAGGTAAAATAAAAATCTGACTGACAGCAGATTTGAACGAATCATCACCCGTTACACATCAATAACAGTCTGTCCCCCTAAGGCTGTATTCGAGTATCATCTGTATCATTCATTCCGTACATTTCGGGTGAAAAGTAGCACCTCAGTAGCCCGTCTTCACTAAACTCAGTTCATTGCCACCACTTTCAACTGACTCCCCAACTGTATGCAGGCGTTCACTTCCACCATACATGATCTTCTGCATGTGACCACCATCGGACGATAAGCCCATCACTTTCCACCGGGGTTTCACTCGAGAGCTCACCTGAGGAGTGATGTTACTAAGGAGACTGTCTCTTCAACGCATGTCTAATACAGGTCTCTATTTCAGATATTAACACCACTAACACTTTCGTATCTGAAATAGAGACCTGTATTAGACAAGAGGTGGCTCATATAGCTCAGTATCCAGATGGATAACGGTTTGGTGTTTTAAGTAATGATCGCTGAGTCCGAGTCGCAATGGTTACGTGATCACTTGTTGAAGATGCGGATATATCCAGCCGAAGAAACCTCGATAAAACGAAACGTACGTCGTGGATTCCACTGCTAGCTACTACAAAAGGATTAACTCCAAACTGATATTTATCTAAACAAATTTCTTCTCTATATACTTTTATTCGAAAAAGAAGTTCTGCGAGTAAGTCACATTAGGAGGTTCAATTTTCAGTGACAGTTCGCTCATCAAATTCATGTTGAAAATGCCGTTCATCATATATGCTTCAAGTTTATGTTGACACATATTTACTCGTCCATTTTTCAACAATTGAGTCACATATTCAATTCCTTCTCTGCTAATCAAAATCTCATCATTCAGTTATTTAGTTGATGGTGGGTGGCTAGCACTGGAATTTAGGGAGCGCGTTTTATCCTATATACGACTTCCAAGCGAGATGCAATTGCATCCCAGTGGTTGACAGTGTTCAATCGAACAGACAGCATCGCTAAAGTGCTTGTACTAAGAGCCAACATATCCACATAGATTGAGAAATACAGTCTACTAAAATCAATCGAAGAGAGAAATTCACAATAAAATAATTTCAACAAATTTCACATTTTAAGTACAATACTGCCTAATTAACACACAAACGTATGATACTGGATTATTGACCGACACAGTTTTATGGTATCGTTTTTCATATGTATCAGCTAGTCAACACAGCGAATCATGTATAAAAGCCCACCATTTGTTACTTATGGAGAAATTTCTTAGTTGTCACTGTGTTGCGCTACACTTGAAATCCCAAAATAGCGAAAAACAGCAAAGTGAAAATTTGAAAAGAGAAACTACACTGTGAAATAATGAAATAAATAAATTACAAATCACATCAATAGTTCAGTGATAGAATGCTGACCGGCCACGTGAAAAACCCAGGTCCGATTCTCAACCAACGGGTGCGCTCCTAACCGTCTCTTAACCGACAGTAAACCCGAAAAAGTCGGAAGAGTCGAGTGTAAGGTTAGTAACTTCATCCCACGAAAACAACACTGCAGCTTGGAGCCCTATATTCCCATCAATATGCAAAAAATGAGAAAATCATAAATCAAGTTATATTTAATAAGTATACCTTAAAATTTGCTTCATTCCTTTTAACCGTATTAATTTCTAATTGTAATGCTTTTTCTAAACGTTCTTGTTCTAGTAGAGCAGCCTCTTTCGCTTCAGCATCTTCCAATAATAGTGAACAATCGACTCGATTATCTAAATAAGCTTCAATTTGTACTTTTAACCGTGAACCTGAGCGATCACGAATTTGCTAATGTGGTGATTTTAGAAGAGAGTAAAAAATTAAGAAAATGAAAACAAAATTTCAAAAACAATAACAAAATTGGTAACTCATAAACATTGAAATAAACGAAATTTTATTCATGAATAATTGTGTAAATTACGCTCAAGTGTATAGTGATTCTTATTTTAAAATATGGAGTGACAACCAAAGGATAAGTAACAAACATATCTGGCACCGAACAAGCCGACAGCCTACTGTCCAATAAATATGTATAAGGAAATGGAATGGATATGGGCCTAGGAGAGAGACCTTTACATGAAAATACACGCCAAGTAGGCTCTCGATTGGAACTCGAATGGGAAAAGAGGGTTGGGCGTTTGAGAGTAACATGAAGGAAATAGTGCCTGAAGGAAATGAACACTTATGGAAAGTCGTGGGGCCAGTAGGGAATGCTGATTGAGAACCTAAAGTAATCAAGATTTGTATAAAACACAAAATAATTGAGCAAAGAATATCTAATAATCTAATAAAAGTATCCAGTAGTACAATTAATTGTTTATACTGACATCTAAGACATTGTTGATGAATAAGATGGGAACTGGGTTTAATAAACAGTTGGACTCCTTTAGGTCAAATTAATTGAAATTTACAGTCGACTTCAGCACTGGCTGGTTTGAATATAGAGATAACGATTTGATTTGTTTCGGTTTAAGGTATTAAATTTTCCTACAATGGTCGAAGGGTATGTGAAAATGTTAGATATCATAAAAACGAATGCAATTATATGTCTTTCAACATAACAGTAGAAAAAATCGAAAACTAAGGTTGTGAAATCTCACTGGTTTTTAAATGATTAAATGATTTGAAACATTAGCTAGTCAATTTCTCGGTCTACCTGAAATTATGTTTACATGACAGCATCAAAGACTGACCGAGTCTCAACGTAAAACTTTGCACAAATGTGAGGTAGTTCAAGTTGTCACTGTCCTTATGACACACTAAAATGGAGGGGGAACAAACATTCAAACAAGCTACGATAAATAGAAATATACAAGAGGAATAATAATTACATGGAGAATAATGAGGACTTAATGGATCTGAGAAAGTACAAAGCGTGAATGTGTCTGAGCCCTTGAGAACTATTTTGAGCCATGTTACCAACAGTCTCTAACCATTAGTTTCCAGTGCGTCGGTGGCACAGTGGTTAGGATTCTCGCCGACCATTCACATGGTCCGGGGTTCGAGCCCACGCCGGTGCACACCTGATATCTATGGTCGGCCTGCAAAATTTGGGCTACCGATATCCATGCTGAAAATTCCATACTTGTAACAAAAATACAGTGTGGAATCAAGCTGTAAATCAAAAATAAAATAAAATTAAAAAAAATAAATAAAATAGTATTTCGAAGACCTGAACCAGGCAGTCGACGCCTCCCTACTTGGCTCAAACCAGTTGACAACGACTTCATGGAGTGATGGCATATCCTTTTCGATTCATAGATCCCTAACTCTTTTCTAACTCAATCTCATATCAGCTTTCACTGCTTGGTGAGAAAGGCGATGGCTTAACATGGGTCATATGTGTCCTAGCCATCTCACTCAATGTAGCTTCACAGCACCTTACACGTCATACTTAGCATCATACGCCTAACCTTAATGTTACTCTCCATATTATACCACTTAATGCGGGAGTCATGACGAAAAAAATCCGTTGTCAAAGACAGTCAGCTTTAGGTCTTCCACTTTCGATAGTCATGTCTCAAAGCATTCTGATCAGCCCGAAAAAAACATTAATTATGATATTTACTTACTTAATTGTTTGAAAATAGAAAAGCGGCTTAAAAACATTTTTACTATCAACAACTGACTAGTTATTAGTTGAGAAGTAGAATTTAAAATGTCTACTGTACAAACTTGTAAAAGTTTTAACAACTGAAAAAAGTATGTTGGAAGTTATTTTAAGATATTTTTTAGGATAAGCAAAGCAACAAACAATTAGTTTTTTAAAGAGAAAACTCAAGTAAGACAAGTCTTTAACTTTAAATACATGCCATTTCCAACTTACTTTTAATAAGTCATCAAATCCAAGTAAATGCAATTCATACTGTAAATATACGCGCAAATTGATATTTTCCGGTGAGTGAACAACAATATTAAGAAACTGTACACATGTTACCTTTGTACAAAATTTGAAACAAAATAAAAGCATAAATAGGCATTTGGGAAGTTTACGAAATGTAGAATGATATATATTCGACTTTATAAATTCTTCCTTTAATCATATTTCGGTCCTAATTTCTGACGAAGTTGTAAAAATACAGGGTTAGGAATGACAGAGTTCCCTATGATAAGCAATACAAATGACGTAAAATTTATCGCGAACATACTGGAAATTTTACTTGAAACAGAAAGGACGGAGTAGAACTATGAAGCGCAGGTTAGTCAATCGTGTAAATGCCTTGACATGGCTGTGAACAATACATTGAAATTCATGACCCATTTAGTCGATAAAACTGCATCGCTGCAGTATATTAATAGTTGGAGCATAAATTTGCGGCGTCGGGCTATCGCACATATTATGAGGGTCGATGATACTACCCAGCTGCCCAGTTAGAAATAGGTGCAGCTGGAAGTCAAGTGCTTAAGCCAATGATTCATATCCCCATGTTAGATACACTTGTTTAGAATGGAACAGAGCTTCCAGTACAGAACAGAGACCTGAGATATGATAGATGATTTGTCATTCTGCTATATAGCAAACATTGTTCGTAGTTCCCATAAACATTTTACAACAGGAAAATGATATACTTGTCATTTAACCCATAACTACGTTTCCAAAGCATATACAAGAAACTTTAAGATACGCGAATTCGTGCAAATGCGACAACACCGTCGAACTGTATATTATTTTAATCCTTAAGGATACACCATCTGACAAGCCTTTTTACGTTATATATATATATATATATATATATATATCATTTAAATAGTTTGATAACTAGAAAATCTGGGTTCTTCTGAGGAAGCTACAACTTACACAACGAAATATTCCAAGAAATCCTATTTTGATTTTCTAAACACGGTATGATTATTTTAGACAATTTCATAAGACTGGGGACAAATTATTTGTGCAAACATAATTAAATTTTCAAGAACTTACTGCAAAATCCATACTGTAATTTTCTTCATCCAGAGTTTCGTGGTATCTGAATGCTGCCAGTAGAAGTTCGAATCTCAATCCTTCACCCATCACAACTCGTAACCTGTCAAATGATTGTAGAACTTTTACATGCCCTCCTTCAATCAAGCACAATGCGGTAAGCATATCCAGTGTAAGTGTTTTTGTACTAAACAGGAAAATAAGAAAAACTATGTAAACCTTGGAGGTATGAGATGGTAAGATTCAAAATGTACTGAAATAACTCATGTTAAATAGAAAACACTCATACAGAATATGAATTAATACCCTTTTCAAACTAAGAAACTTTTGATTAGAATTATGCGAGAAAAATTAATTCTGGTTTAATGACGGAATAGTAAATTTCGTTGACAGGAACGCATGATTAGGGCATGAGGCTAATTAAACTTTGAATTTTTAATTAACCATTACAGTGATTATACCGTAACTCCCTTCAGTATAACGTTGAGAACTATCAAATATCAAACACCATCAACATAATCTAAAATCGCTACGCAGTGGTCGAATTCATTACACCTCATTTGAAATGTAAAGTAGGAGAAAGGAATACAAAACATAAAATAATACAATCAATGGCTGTAGAATGCAACCAGACAAAAAAAATAAATGTGGTAATTTATCGGAGATTAGAATAAACTACTGGTGCGTCTGAGCCAGTGTGGTCGATTTTCAATCATTTCAACAATCATAGACTACCTAGGTTATGTGGCTTTTAGCCAGGCAACCTATATTCCTATACGTGATTCAGACCAACAGTCAATGACTTTGTGGGCCAGTAGTCTGTTTCGGGTTAGTCACCCTTAGCGTTTGTTTACAACAGTGAGTACGTAGACATAACATGGTAGGATATTAAATGGGTAGCTAACATACAAATATTTTGATATATTTTCACGTATCAATTCCCCTCCTGCTAATGAGTACATTGAGCTGTTCATGTTCAGTAACGGAGTCACTCTGTTGTAACCAACTGTTATAAGTTAACATTAACATCGTAACGTGCAATGTTGGGCTCGGAAACTTTGTAAGATATCTCTCAAAAATGATGACAACTGGCCACATGTTCCTAGTCGAAAAGTGCTGATGATAATGTTGTATTCACAAATGAAGCCGATGGCGTGGAGTTTTATTTAGTTTTCTCATTTTCGTTCCAGACGTTTCTTTGCAATATTGGGCAGGATGTTACGTGTGGTTTCATAAGAACACATCTAGTTAGCTTATATTTCATGTGAACCGCACCAGAATCGTCCAAAAGAAGGCCTTACTTTTATCGATACTATAATGAATATAAAGCTTTCGCAAGAGTTGTTATTGCTTGAAATATAACCTTCAAATTATGGCAGTGTCTATCATGGTAATCACGTGAGAAAGACGAAATTCTCAGGAAAGAATTTGTCTTTATGTGTTATTATCTATCAACTAATACACAGCAATACACATTAAATATCTAAGACAGCTATAGAAAGCACCACGACTCATGCATCACTGAGAAAATAAAATGCCGAAATTTCTATTAGTGAAGTTAGTTCACTGCACTCGAATTGATATCTGATATCCGAAATCACAGTAATCTTCTATGTTGAAACCAGTCAGTCGGTCACTATGCACCAACCTCAAAATTATCCATTTATCATATCTTGAAGAACAATATCACACTACAAGTCAAACAAAGAGGAAAATAAAAGCAATCGTCATACTCACGAGTAGTTCGGATGGAAAAGGCAGAAGGTTAGTAAACTGATAACAAGTGGATGCTCCATGGCTCTTTTGCACCCCTTCTGAATATATTAGGAATAAAGTGCTATTCAAAAACCAACCTGATTATTCAATATCGCCTTGAGGCAACGAAGGGACAAATGCAAACAATCTTTCAGAAATTCAAAAAATGATGGAGTTATTGAACATCCTTTCAGTGAACCATTGTTATGAATCGCCAACATGGGCAACACAGCATGAGTCATATTACCTAGAGATCATGGATAAGAAATCGAACGTTATTACTTGAACAGGACTGAGTTGATTTAATGCTGTTGCCACGGATGGTTTCAGAAATTTCTGCTGAACAAGATATTTCATAACGGGGCCGATAAGTTTCTGTGAAGGCTTTACTCCCGTAGTGTTTTCGTGAACCGAATGACGCCTCTTGTCTACGAAAAATCTACGAGTTAAATTTCACTTACTCTGATAGAAAAGGTAGACATTGAAACATCAAATCGGTTAAAGTTTCTAGGCCTTCATAATCTAAAAAGTCATACACCCATCTGGTATTATAAAAATATGTCTTATTATTACTCAACATTATTGGTGCGCAGAGAAATTTCTACAGAGGACAAAAGAGAACGGAAGGCGGAACCATCTACTTTTTTCTTCTAAAAAACATTCGGGTACTATGATAAGAAACAAACCCAAATATATTCAATCCTGCTGGCTTTCAAAAGCGTAACGTAGTGAAAAGCTGAGCGCCTTGGGTTTTTTGATTCCTAGGAGAATAAAAAATGACAAGCAACTTACATAGTTCAACAACAGTTCAGTTTTCTTATTTTCATCCAACAGTTCAATTTGCTTGATATGCTCAGATGACACATCAAGTGAGTTCATGAACGATCTCCACCGTGTCTCGAAGTCTTTGGGGTCACCAGCACTAGCTGATTCATCTCGACCATTTGGAAGCTGGCGTTTTTCCAAAGCCTGAGCATTCCCCATTTTCAAACACACCGATCAGAAAAACCCATCCTTAAGCAGCACGGAACCACCTAAGACGAAGAGTGACCTTCATCATGTTTGAAAACAACACATTATATTACCCATTTTTACACCTAGTTAAAACGAAACACAAAGGAAGACTTTTATTGCAGTGGACCGTTTGGTGGTGCAAAGTGTCTTTAGCATCCTAATGTGTCACCCAAATTGTTCTAATTTCTGGACTGCCATTCCTTCAAACGTCACTTTCCATATCGTTCCTACAACCAAGCAATGAAATACTGCTTATAATTAGTCAAATGTCTACAAACTAACACTTGAGAAAGCTTATGCCCACTATTTAACGAATATGGGACGAAGCTGTCTGAAGATCCAATGAAAATTATTAACTGATATGGTCCACCAAGTCAGGTGTAACAACATTTACTCGACGATGACAATCCTCGACTCCGGAGTTTTATTATAGGAATGGGTAGAATCTGGAACTCATTTTTCATTCGATTCCATCATGGTGGCCGATTTACAACGTGACTGCCCCATTACCTGTGGGTCCTGGGTTAGATCCATGGTGGGTGTGGTCACGAGAGCATAGTGTTGAATATTCTCGAACTAGGACGTATTAGCTGTCCAATGATTCTCTGACTGACGTTGGTTCATAATGAAATTTAAATACGAAACCAAAAGTCTCACTTTCAGAAAACTGTTGATAGAGGTGGCAGTCATGAGGCTTAAATGTTCATAGATGTTCTTATGGATCTATAATCAAGGAGGCGGAAGCCCCCATGGAGAAGAGCCATCAGCCCCTTTAAGACTCAGCCAGACCAAAGCACTGTGGAGCACCCACTTAGACGTGAACGGTTTGCTGTATAAAGTCATGAAAAAGATGCTTATCCACCCAGAGTTCGTATCTATGGCAAAATATCACCTGTTGAAAATAATTCTAAAGGTGTGTGTCGGAATAATCTGTCAACCAGTCATTCCTGAATATATTTCAAAAATGACACGCGTTTCTGTTTGCGAATGTCATCAAAAAAGTAAACCAATGATGAAAAAATGATGCGTGATGGTTGCGTGGCATGATTCAAGCTAATTTAGACGATAGTGGTTCTAAAGCTCTACCTTTGTATTTCATTTAAATGATAATTAGATAATAAGTGTTGTGCTGAGCACTTGTAGACTTTCTGTATATTGTAAGTAACTGGGACCTGTGAATACATTATTATATGCATAATCTGCCCTTACATATGCTCGTATAGCCGATATATTATTTCTTTTTTTATAATTAATTTTATAAATGGAAACGTATGAATATTTTATCTCATAATTATTAGTAGGTCTATTAACAACTTAATAATAATCCTGCGTTGAACAATACCATTTCGAAATCTGTGTGCGAAAAAAATCCCTGTCTTTTGTTGTTACATAGAGAAACCTTGGAGGAACTTTTACGTCAAGCAGTTTGTCATTGTCCTCAGGCAGAAGTGCTCTGGCTTATGGCAGCAAAAACACGTTGGCTTGCGGTGAGTTTGTATTTCCTTTCGAATTAACAGTTTATTATCTGACTGTCTAGTTAATTGAAGGAAGGGAGAGAGTACTGGGGGGCGCAGTACATTACTAGCTCAACATATCAAGTAATCGACAGCCGAGCACTAATTTATGTCTGACTGGAAATTCATTTAGACTCTGTGCATCCGTACTGTTAGCCTGTGATACATCTTCGCTTACTCTGTTTTTCTCGTTCATTTCTCCTTGAATGTATGGATAACTATAGCAGAATATAAGAAAATTTGTTTCAGAGAAATTTCTTATTATTCATGCAATGCAAAGTGAAGTATAACACTGAAAAATTTAGAGCGTTGGTCTCCAAAAGCGCCTTGTCTGAATAGTTTGTCTCCCAACACTGAAATCACGTTCCTTGTCAGCTATTTATACTACTCGTGGGTTCGAAATACTCTCAATAGTTTGGCTTTACAAATCACAGGTCAAAAAATTAAAAACTTTCCAGGGTGCATACTTTACATTTCGAGATTCGAGATTCAAAATAATACTTTACACGTAGAGCAGCACGCGGCCGCCCGAATTTCGTCCCTTCACCCATGAACAGTACTTAAGAACAAGGAAGATGCACAGTAAAAGGTCCACTACACCAAAATCAGGAATATAATCACTGAAAGTCAATGGTCCTATCTTGGACCTGTCTTCAGCGCCAAGGCAATACTGAGTATTTCACTGTGCATGCTATACTCTCTGATTCGAAACGGTTTCCAGATTATTTCACAGTGAGTTCCACTGAAAGTCTTTACCCAATAGACGAATTCGATATAGAGATTTGACTGACCTTTAAACCTGTTAGTTGATAATGCGCAACTTTCCATTCTTATCCGCACATGAATTGTTTTTTCTCAATCCAGCTCGTTCTGTTGGAAGTTATGAATCCACAGAATCCCTTAACATCTCTAGGAATGACAGGAATAATTAATACAGATTTCGTGTAAACGGGTACGTTTGCATGAAATGCACGGCATTTTTACAGGCACGGGCCGTTGTTTTATAAATTACAATTCTGAATTAGCGTAAATTGGCTGTCAGCCACGTCTCGTAAACCGTTAATCCCCAACTCTTCCTACGCTCAAGCTCACGCTGTTCCTTGAAGTTTCTCAGAAACGCTTAGTACGAACGGACGTAAAAACCAAAACACCGATTGGCGACTCGAGGATTCTTTATTGTTACACCAACATATAAATAATGTATTACTAAGGTCTGTGAACAAATATTACAATAATAAATCACAATATTACTTCTAACGGTTGTCTCCTGACTTCTTTCTGAACAGCGACCGATGAGACGATGACTGGTGTATTGATGCCTCCGCAAAAAATTGAAGAAGTTGGTTTTCAGCAAACAACCATGACTTGATCGTGCAATCATCATCTACATGGACACTCCCCGGCAGAAAAGGGATCCCACCAATTTTTTCCATCACGATTAATACACGTTGACTTGGATGCCACTGCGAGAACCTGGGTCACACGGACAGAGCGGAAATGGAAAACAAACAGAAAAGCCAACACACCACAAGCATACACACAGCACAATCTCACACATCAATGACGACCTGCGCCTTTCAGTTAAAGGCATCCTCTTGCAACACAATCGCCACTCGCTAGAATGACTCTTGCAGAATGCAACGTGACCATAGCACCACCTCATGATACTCCTCGCACATCCTCTTATCTATTCACTACCAATTACCACTGAAACCGCTTGTCACTCATTCTGCCTCAATTCTAGTAACGGCGACGTATGCGAGCCTCAGTCGTCTACACTCCCGCTCCCCGGCGTGTGGGACCACAGCTAACAATTATCTCCGTGTGCATTTCATTCTCAGCTATAGCCTAGCCTCCCCGGTGTATACGACCCATCTGCTGTCTCTAACATCAATCAATTCATTCACGGATGTAGAAGAATGGGAACAACTTCAGAAGTAATCACGACGAAAATTTTAACAAAATTATGTAATAAAAACAAGGTACGAAAACAACGAGTAAACACAATGAATCCAAAAAACACCAAGTGATATGACACACCACACATATATACAAACAGTACACACAAACTCGCGGAACATGCCTTGACGGAATTCCTTTGAAGAATCGCAGGACTTACACCAGTACGCCTACAACACTTCTCACGTTGACGATTGGATTGTAATTTGTGGAATATCCAGACACAAACAAGATTAACCAACAATTACAATATAATATATATATATTCTCATATAAACATATAAATTTACATGAAAATGCATGCCATTTTTACAGGCACGATCAAGTATGATATAATATCAAATCATAGATTGTCTACAAGTTAATAATGTTTCAACAGTTAAATATTTGATATATATATAAATACACATTGTCTGAACTAGGCTGTATAGTTATTGAATTGTACAATTGTCCTCCAGGTTGAGCGGGAAAATCGACTTCGTTTCGTTTTCATCCCGTGGTTGTCGGCATACGATAACCAACCAATATTGAGGTAAGTACAACGTTTACAACGGATTGAAAGCTGTTTTTAGAAAAGTAAAAGTGCTAAGGTGAATCAATAAAGTGTAATGAAATGGGTAAGTGCAAGTATCACTAATAAATGCATTAATATAGAAAACTCCCTAGGCTGACAACGTTCATTTGCAATGTATAATGCTACGCGTATATCTGGTAGTATCATGATGTCCACTTTTGGTTTTAATACATTTTTTCCTTATGTCTGTTTTTTTATTTTATGCTTTTTTGTGCATTTGGTGCACAACCGTACCTCACAGAGAATAGGAATAGAATAAGTCGAATCAAATTCATAAAGAGCTATAAAATGTTAGGTTTAATGGGATACAATGAGGATTAAGTAAAGACGTTATTAGAAAATGAATGAGATAAGACATTGTGAAGTGGTATTTAAAGATCCGACAATGGACAGCAAGTTGATTTATAAGATGCCCCATAAATCTGTGCAGATCCCACATGGTCGCATCTCAACAATAGGCTGAGCGAATGGTATATATTTAAAGGTAGAAGCATGATCTGTCAAGGCGTTCATTATTATCTTTTTCAAGATAAAGATCTAAGCCCTCATAAAAATCAGAAATATCTCGAGCCTTTAATTTGTATATTGCTGTTCCTGCAGAATGGGGCGATTCACCTTAGTGACCCCCACCATATCTACTGATCAGCTAACGCCACCCTCCCTCCTTTTTTGATGTTAAGCTCTGAGAATATGATTATTATGGCTACCGCAAATATACTGCTTGGTACCAGACATGTTCGTACCCCATATTCCATCTCCCTAGCTTTCTTAATGAGTGCTTCCAATAGGTCTCCACATACATCTTTATGAACATTATATATGTATGCATGCGTCCTAATGAACAGATTACTTTACAAGAAGTTAAAACCTTAAAGAATAAAAAGAATAGGTTTTGTGAATAGTGAAGCAAGATTCAGCAGAACAATATAGTTAGGGATCAATGTAGGTAGTATGAACTGAAGGTAAGGTCGGTTGGCAGGACTTAGTGTACTAAATTATCATGACAGTCTTGTATATAGTAGACAT